ACCCTAAACCCTAAACCGTAACTTAGGGTTTGTTGTTGTTACACTTCTGGGCTTGGGGTTTAGGGCCTTGGGTTAGGCCCTTTTTGTTCCGGGGAAACAATCTCAAAACCCTCAATCAAGAGCTGCAGGAACATAAGAGCTTGCAGCAGATGTAGCATACCGCCTGCGAGTATGACATGAGAAGTCAACTTATTCCTTTTGCCTGAACATGAAGGACTGCAACCTCCATCGTATCACACTTCAGCACATCGAACGGGTCGTAAAACAAGCAGTGTATCGAACAAGAGATTCGATGCCGAACCTTGAATCCGAGACCCTCCGGCCGCGGTCGCTGGGAATCGCGCATTTAGCTTGCCCAAGGCCTTGGCCGTGGCCATGTCGCGCCACGCCTGCAGATCTTGTCGGTGGAATGAGTTTCGCAGCCTACCTCCCGAACGCAAACAAACTCAAAAATAACAAAGCCGTCACAGCCAACCAGAGCCCATCTTCCTAGCTTGCCAACAACACCACAGAGCCGCCTGTCAGGGTTTCTAGCTGTTTGGCTTTCACATCGCCTGGAGCTGGCCGGCCTCTGCCGCCGATGCAGCCTGTTCTTATGCTCGTCTGGTTGTGCTACGGATCGGTTTTGAGGGGGCTCTCGTGTGCAATTGGGTTTTGGATTCAAGGAGTTGGCATCCTGGTGCGAGGTCGATAGGAGTGGACAGATTCCGTGGCTTTGAGTTCTCCACCTGCGAACGTCCGGTCCGAGACCGCAAGGGCAGGCGGAAGGACACGGCTAGAAAGTGGCTACAGCGGTGGGGAAACAATTCGGACAGTCCTCCAGCTGCTTGACCCGAGCAAGCGCGTCTTGCGCCGTGGAATCCTGCAAACTTGGCATTCCCAGTGGCTAGCGGCTAGTTAAGGCGGCGCAGCGAAGGGTCCAGGGCATACGGCTCGGCCTTTTGCTCTTCCCTTCCAAGTTGCCTACACATCTCCGCAATTTCCCGACCTGTCGGGGCCCTTGCAAGCAAGACACACCAAGTGCAACCATCTGCTGCTGTTGTCTTTAGCTATCGGCGATCGGGTGGCCCGAATATCTGGCTCGACCAAAAACGCATGTGGGCAGCTGCGTGTAATCTCATCAGGTCTACGACCACTTGCCATGACTTGCCCAACTGAGTCTCAGAGACACCAGTCAATATCAGATAATCGCCCGCGTTTTGGGGTTCATCTGTTTATCCAGCAACATCTAGAATAAGACCATTTCGGTCTGCAAGCACTCTGGTACTAGGCCCTGCCTCGGCTTGAACCGCCTGATGGCCCACTTTGGGGCGTTCCACCTGGCCGTGCTCGGCGAGATCCCGTTTTGAACAGACAGTAGATATAACAGATATAACACTTCATTAGGCCAAACACAGTCAGATGCAGCGAAACAACTGCTCCGGGTAAACGGGCAAGAGCAATCATCACGAGCAAAGCCTGACAAATATTAAAACAGCAGCTTATGATCACGCTGTTACTGCTACGGTAGTCTGCTGCAGCTGCTTCTGGTCCCTTCTCCTCATCCTCATCCTCCTCCCACTCCCACTCCCAGGCACAGGCAGCGCTGCCACGGCCACTGCCTACAAACTACTACTAACTGCTAACTGCACACTACAACCTACAAACGACTCACTGCTACTACCTGCCAACTGCTAACTACAAGCTACAAACTACCTACTTCCTACTCCACTACTTCTACTACTACTACTACTACTACTACTACTACTACTACTACTAAGAAACCCTTAAACACTTACCAGTCGTGTCACTCAGCTTCTACTACTACTACTACTACTAAGAAACCCTTAAACACTT